TGGCTGAGAAGAGTGACGAGAAGAGTTGTGTTATATAGTGAATTTAGTGAGAATATAATGGGACCCACAACCCAGTGAATTTAATTATTTTAAAAAAATTAATAAAGTCACTATCTCCATTTTCTTACTGTTGAAAATTTTATTTAAAAAATAAAATTACTTTCACATTTATCTCTATTAACTATCAAATATTCAATTAAAATTGAAGAAAATACATTATCACTGGCCAGTACCTAAATATTTTTTAAAAATTTACAAAGAAATACTTACTTCCTCGTCAATCAAGATCAATTTGATTCTAACCCTTGTTACATGTTTAACAATTAAAACTAAAAAATAATAAAAATTTTAAAAATAATGAGCTGTTTTTTTTTCACCGTGTTGGACAAAATTGATTCTAACAGGCGAGGAGTATAATTTATTTTTAAAATTTAATTGTTTATTTTCACAACCGACCAATCATTTTTCTGGGGTTTTCTGGAGGGATGAGCATAATGACAGAGTAGCCCCGGTCGGTTTGGCGGATAATGATTGATCCACGTGGCGAAAGATGAGCCACAAGGGCTGAAGTAGAGTGGACAATGGGGTATAGTGCGGCCTCCGCCGCCCACCGTCCATTTGGACCAGATCGATGATGTGATGTCTCGAAGATTATGATAAGGTTTCGATCGTAATTTGGGTGTTTTCTAAGGGTAATTGTGGAAATTGATATGCAGCGGTGGTTACGTAAAAAATCATCATGTTTAGCTCGTGTTTGGTCATGCACATGGAAGGAAAAATGAGCGGAATTTTGATTTCATGTGTACTATATAGTTTGTTTCTTTGCCCATTTTCTTAGAGGACTTTTGGAAATTAGATATACGTGATGATTGTGTATTATAGGGAGACGAGTTTTCATTTATTTATTTATCATCTAAATTAACAGTAGAGTTATTTTTGTTTCATTCAATTTTTGATATATCAATAAATCTTATATGTAAATTAAAATTGTTTCTTAGTCGAAAACCAATTTAAAATTGTTTCGTTAAAGGTAGGAAACCAAAATTACTCTTCAAGCTCTAAAATTACCATACTAAAAATTATCACTTTATAATGTATATCTATTTTAGTTCATTATACTTTGATATAATATCATTATTAAATAATAAATAAAATTAAAGCATAACTTGCCATTAATTTAAATAAACAAATGGATTGATAAAAAAGTAATGGACAGATTTGAATATGAATCAAAGTTCAACGGGTTAAGTCGTATATTTCATCCCGAGTGTGTTAAATTAAAGAAAAAACACTTTTTGAATATTATGGTGGCAACTTTTTCTAATAATAATCTTGTATTGTTTAATATAGTTAATGTTGATTTGTAAAACTTAAAAGGTAAAAGGTTGTTGCATAATTTAAGTCATTATTACCATTAAAAAAAAGTCAAAACTTCAATTATAATCTTAAAAACTATACTAGATGAGGAAAGCAAAAAATACATGAACTTTGGTTCAAATTTTTAAGAGTATTTTTGTTCAAGTCTTCTTGAAACTAAAAAATGTTAAATCAAGGTTAACGGGTTGCACTCAAACTAAGGTCCAATTAAATAAGTATAATGGTGTCAATTCAAATTATCAATAGATTTCGTGGAATTTCGAATTCAAGATTTTTTAATCGGAGTTTATAACGTATGTTTTTACAACAAATTCAAATGTCTTATTTTAGAGAGAAAAATAAAAGCTAACGAGCCCTTATTGATTTTTCCATGTGTTTTTTTTTTTTCATTTCTGTTTTTTGGAGAAATGACTTTTCTATATGAGTATTGACTGCATTCCTATTGATTTATTTAGGTTACCATTAATACATTGATAGGTATACAATTACGAGTCCTATCAATATTTTTGATCCACTGAAAATAAATTCATAATTCAATACAATAAATATTTTTAAATTAGTGAAATGACCTCCATTAAATTACAATCAAGACCTTCTTCAGTATTCCAATTGAGACAAATATTGAAATTTTAAAAATGGTTGTTAATTACGTCTTTATCTTAAACTATATTTAAGTTGATTTTACAATTAAATACACTTTTCATCGTTTTAGAAAATTATAATAACTAAACTACCTCAGCTTTAATCATTTAGCAATGAAAAATACTAAATTTCATATTAGTGGGAGTAAATGGGATATTAGGCTAAAATTTAAAATGTGAGTTAAATATAATATAAGTTTCTAATATTTGAAGTAATTCCCAAGTCTTTAATTTTTTAAAAATTCCAAAATTTTATTTTTAAATGTATTAAAAATTTTCAAGTGGGATGTCCAAATAAGATCTCTACATGTCTAAAAATTTGCAATTAAAAATTTAAAACAATAATTTAATATGCATTATTAGTTTGTTGTTAATAAATCTCGTCTTTTCATGCAATGACTTAATTAAGAAATTTTAATAAATAAAAAATAAATTGATAATTTTAAAAGATTAATAATTTAAAATTACCTCAAAGATTAGGACTATCTTATATTTTCTTTTACTATTATATATAAATAAGATAGGGGTGAGCTGATAATAACTTATGTTATCATTATCAGCCAAACGCAACGCATTTAATATAATAATCAAGATGATGAGGTTGTCTCTTTTTTTTTTTTTTTCGGCTAATAAGTTATTTAAAATAATCACAAAACATTTATTATGTATTTGGAATTTATAAAATGGCAACCATTGGTTAGGTTGTAGCCGCCAGCTGATTCTTGGCCATGGATTTGTAAAGCTGACAGGACAATCACATGACATGGCATCATCTGATTGGGCAGCCTTCGTTTAAAAACGGAATTTTTTTGGCCTATTAGGGTTTTTCTAAACAGAATAATTAGGGTAGTTTTGAGAATACATTTTTTTTAACAGAGTTTTGAGAATAATCAATAATTAAGAAAACAATGAATTTCTGCGAATTTACTTACAGGCTGGGTAAACTCAATTATAAAAATCATGTTTAATCAAATTCCCTACAATAAATATTCATTTATTTATTATGATTAAAACATAAAATATACAAATTTGAACTTTGTAACCGTATATAATTGTATTCTTAACAAAACCGTATATAATTTGGAGTACATATTTAGTGAACAAGAGTACTTAAACAATTAAACCATTGGTCTTCTTATTTTTTTAACATCTAATCTGAGGTGCAATAACGACTTTTTTATCGGATATATATACCACAGTCAGTTGAACTACTTCTAAGTTTGACAATTATAAAATTCTTCTGGATAGGTGTGCTCTAGAATAATAATAATTAAGAGGATACAACGACTAAGAGACCTATCTCCTGCCATTTTCCATTTTCTTAATTTTTTGGTTGCCTTCCGCTTTCTGAGTTTTATATTTTGAAAATTATGTTTTATTTTTACTTTGGAGTATTAGCCAAACTAAAAAAAATTGAATCTTTTTAAATTTAGCTTTAAAATGTAAATAATAAAACAAAGAAATATATTATTTACCCACTTAATTTTAAAACATTAGAAGATCACAAACAAATAAAATTGTTACCAAACGGAACACATGTGGAATAATAAAAAGAAAAACATCTTATTAAGGGAAGAATTTACACAACACCAAACCATCTTATTACGAATACATAAATCATGAACAAAAGCCTTTCTTGATGGATTTAATTTACGGGTTCATTTCACAATTCATACAAAGATGCAAAAGCGTAGAGCAACAATTAAAAGGTGTTGGAAATTTGATTTGAACAAAATAAAACATCACCAAAAGCCTTTTTTTTTTTTTTTTTAAATTGTGTAGAAGAAAGAGATGTTGATGATCACTTGGACTTGAAGGGAATGGCTCTGATCACCACTTGGTGGTACAGAGCTGCCAGTGCTGCTCCGATAAATGGTCCAACCCAGAAAATCCACTGCAATTTTATTTAATTTAATAATTAAATTGGGCTCTCCGAAATAAATAAATTAATTAATTAAGATTTAAGAAAGGAGAAACTGACGTGGTCATCCCAGGCGAAGTCCTTGTTGAAGACGATGGCGGCGCCCAAGCTCCGGGCCGGGTTGATGCCGGTGCCGGTGATCGGAATCGTCGCCAAGTGAACCAAGAACACGGCGAACCCAATTGGCAGGGGAGCCAAAATCTGCCAAATTTAGTGAGTTTTTTTAGCCTTTTTAACCCATGAATTACCACTCAGTGTCTAAGGCTAAAAATATAAATAAATTACTACTCAAATCTTTTTTTACTGACCGGAACGTGGGAGTCTCTGGCGCTTCGTTTGGCATCGGTAGCGGAGAAGACGGTGTAAACGAGGATGAAGGTGCCGACGATCTCGGCGCCGAGGCCGTCGCCTTTAGTGTAGCCGGGGGCGACGAAGTTAGCTCCGCCGTTGAGCCTCTCGTAGGGCTTGGGTTGGAAGCCCTTGACGACGCCGGCGCCGGCGATGGCGCCGAGGCACTGCATGACCATGTAAAAGACGGCCCTGGTCAGGGAGAGCTTCCTGGCGAGGAAGAGGCCGAAGGTGACGGCGGGGTTGATGTGGCCGCCGGAGATGCCGGCGGTGCAGTAGACTAGGGCGAAGATCATGCCGCCGAAGGCCCAGGCGATGCCCTGGATGCCGACGGTGGAGCAGGTGTTGCCCTTGGCCTCTTTGGAGCGGACGACGCCCATGACGGTCAAAACGGTGACGTAGAGGAAGAGGAAGGTGGCGATGAACTCGGCGATGCCGGCCCGGTAGAAGGACCAGGAGGTGAGCTCCCCGGCCTCGAAGAGYGGCGCCGGCGGTGGCTCCTTGTAGTCCTTGGCGCCGTCGTCTTGGCTCTGGGCCGCCGTGCCGATGGGCTGCCGCTCCGTGAACTTGTTGGCCCCGAGTCTTACGTCTTCTTCCTTTCCCTCCATTATGTTATTGATTTCTTCTTCTTCTTCGGAGATTAATGGTGGACTGGTGGTGCACAGCGTCGTTTTAAGGGTTATATATAGCGCTTAGTAATGAGAGCTTTTGAGGAAGGTAGTGAAAAATATTACGAGAATGGAAATTGGAAGGATGATGGTGGGCCCACGCCAGCTCTTTCTTATATATATATATTTCTTTTAAATCACTTTTAGATTTAGCAATTATTTTATTTTAATACCTTGAAATTTGGTTATTGCAGTTTCAAAAGGACTCTTTCTTGCCAACCTAAGCAAGCTGATCAACACTGTAATTAGTACTTATCTCAAGAGTTAATGAGTTCGAATATATCTTTATCTTCATTTGTTGTATGAAAAAAAAACATCTATTTTGGTCTGTTTGTTTTCAATTTTATCTCATTTTTTCTCATCGTAATTTTACCATTACATTTCACTAATAATAAAACTTCTTGAAATGTTGTCTATGTATTTTTATTAAAGAGTTTTTGTTGGGTATAAAATTTGTGTTTGTTAGAATTTTGCAAATTGGGAACTAGCGTTCTAAAAGTACAATGATAGAATGGACGTTTTGATAGTATGCGACCTAAAATAAAATAAAAGTTTGATAGACAAATCAAAATGAATGTTTGGGAAGTAAATAGATCAAAATGAATCCAAGTCAAAAGTCAAATGCCAAAATATTGTATAAACAATTTTCATCTACCCACACTCTTCTTAAAAGTGTTGTTGACTTGACAAACAATAAACCGAGGTAGTATGAAAATTTTTTCATACTCTCGTGAGCTAGTCTTGTGATATGTAAATTTGCATACTTACTATTACTGTGTTTTTTACAACAAATAAGAGAGAAGAACCTCGGAAGGAGGAGAGAGAATAAATATTAATAAATAATTTTCAAATTTTTAGTGGTGGTCGGCACGATGGCTCATGCTAATTACCTATCTTTAGATGATTATTATTCTAAATTTAATACTTAAACTTTCAAAAAAATGTTTAGGGAAAATAACAACTTTTGTAATGAATAATAATGTAGCTTCATGTATGTTTATAAACATATTTTTGTGAATATGAGCATATATGTATATCACATACAATGAAGGTAAGTATTGAAAGAGTAAGTTGGTATAAGATAAAAAATAATAATAATATAATAAATATCAAAATGATTTTTGTTTTTCAAGTTAAAAGAAACTGAAATAAATATTTTAAAAATTCAAATATTAAAATTCAATATTCTTGAAAGTTAAAAGCATAAAAATATAATTTATAACGGTGTAACCAAAAGATGACGGGTTCAAATCCTATCTAGTTGTACTAAAACAAAATAAATAATTAATTAGTTATTACGATTGTTATTTTGTATTCTAGAGCCGACCAATTTGTTTTGGCATTTTATAAATGTATGGGTTAAATGGTGGGCCAGGTCGGTTTGGGCGGGGGTGTGTGATTGGATCCACGTGGCAGGAGTGTGACCACAAAGATTTTACGGAGTAAAACTGCAGTCTCTTTAGTCCAAATAATGCGGCTTCCGGCGACCAACCGTTACTGGTGGGGAGGCAAAACAAATCCCACGTGTGATTTTCATGTCTACTAACAACCACCGTCAGCTTTTACCTCAAAAGTTTCTATTACCAAAAAATATTATTGAATTAATATATTATTCGATCGAGTAGTCAAACCCGAACAGATTAAGACACTTATCTTCGACAAAAAATAAAAAATAAAAAATCGTCAAAATTCGAATTTCCACCCTCGTAAGAAAAGACTTAGTCGCGTGTAGAGGTTATTTATAGAAATTACTTGATAGTATTTTTCCAACTTTTACTCTTAAAAATCAAATTAAACCTCGAAATATAATTATAGTTAAATTTAGGTGAAAAAACTAGTTTAAATTACCTATTTAATCTCTAAATTTATATGATATCTTAAATTTTAATGTAGGCAATAAATCTTTAAATTTTTTATTTTGGTTTAATTTTGTTATTTTTTAAAAATATATAAAATGTCGGTATTTGTGACCTTTTAATTTTGTGTCTAATAAAATATTATTTTATTCTATTTATGTCTTGTGAGTTTTAATAATTTTTTTTGCAAAGGCAAATATATTAAACAAAAAAACAGAGGATCTCATAGCCTGAAATCAAGGCACAAACACCCCAAGGACAAACAGAAGACAAGAGGACAGATAGTAAATCATGAAAACAAATCTCAGGCTGAGATAAACATAGATCAGAACTCAAACATCAACTTCCCGGCCATGTAGTAACGATAATAAACCTCGACTTTCAAAGCACGCAAGAGGACAGAACTCTAGCATTATGCTCCCTCCAAATAAAAGAAATAGTCGAAGTTCATGCCAATCGCCACACACGACGATGAGCAAACTTCCCAGCATTAATGTGACAAATCCAAGCAAGTTCAGTAGACCAAATAAACTATTGAAAATTGTTTAATAATTCCTAGGCAATTTTTTTTTTCAGAATAATAATTCATACGCAATTGAAAATTCGTTCTAGATCTAAAGTTTTAATTTAACTGATATATTTAAAACTACGGAAATAAAACAAGCTTAAAACTTTAAAAAGTTATTAAATGCCAGAGCTTATGATTGCAATCAACTTTGGGAAGGAAAAAAAATCCCTAATTTGGTAATTAAATTTAGTGTGATGAGCTGGCAGCGGTACATCCACCTGTCGGAATATACGCATGTCTTATGCACCATTCGAATTATTTTTAAATTATTACAGACAACTGTGCCCCTCAATTTTCCACATCAACGTTTATCAATAATGGACTCACTAAAAAACTTTTATAATTTTTCTTAGAAAAGAAATATATATCGATATATACTTAAAATTAATTGTTTATTTTATGAAATAAATGATAATATTTTTTGTTGGTTCGGAGAATGTAAGACCCATTTGGAAATGTTGGTTTATTACTTTTCATTTCCAATTTTAAAGAAATAGTTTCTTAATTGTCTTTCTTTCTTACTTTTAATGAATGTTTTAAAATGACGTAGAAACAACAAAATCAAACTTATTCCTTCCTTGTCTCTAATTCTTTTTCTTAAATATAAATAAAATATTATTTTATTATTCCTCGCTTATAAAATATATAATAAATATTAAAAGATAAATATAACATAAATTTTTTCATTTTTTTAAATTCAAAATTTATTTATGAGAACGAAAAAACAAGAAATAGTTATTAAATATGTTTCTTTTCTTTTCAATAAAAATAAATAACAAGAAATAGATATCTAATGCATACATATTATTTTTTATAGATTAAAAGAGAAAAACGAGAAACAAGAAACAAAAAATATAAGGATTGGTAAGGACCTATTTAGTAGCGTTTGTGTTTCTTGTTTATGTATATCATTTTTAATAAATAAAAATAGAATGCCCCAGTTGAAAAATGACAAAACAATGTTATTATTTATGTTTTGGAACAAATTGGAAATAGAAACAAAATAAAAAACTTATTTTCTTTGTTTCCAAAATTTCTGTACAATTTTAAAAATACTTCTTTAAAAAATAAGAAGCAAGAAACACAAACATTATTAATTGATTAGAAGTGTTAATAAATTAAAAAACAATAACAAAAAAAATAGAAACGTTACGAAATTAAACCAACCCGTGAATTCTAATCATGTATTTTAAAAAAGAAGTCATTCTTATCCATTTGTGAATGATTGGATAAGTTTAATTAATGTATAACTAAACAATTAGTGAATCCCGTTGCAAAATCATTATCAAGTAAGGAAAATTAAAATAATACTTCTGAAGATAAAAGATTCGAAATTCAGCTATGCGACAATTATACTTTTTTACGTTGCAACCGCCTCTTGGTTTCAGGCCATGTATTTGATTAAAACCTGACCTGGCATTCACATGATGGTGGGACCACTGGGCCCCACTCATCTTTTTTTTTTTCCCCACAATTTTCTGTAAATAAATTATTTATTGCATTCAAAGGTCTTTTAAAATATTTTCTTTCAAATTGTTATCTTTCATACAAATTCGTGGGTTGAAAAACACATTTTATCTTAGTAATTTACATTTTTTCAAAAAAATAAAAAATAATAATCTTAGTAATTCACCAAAATTTAAATCATAAAAACTAAATTTTTTCACATGAATTTGTAATCATCCCGACTAAATTGTTACGTAGCTAAATTTAGAGACTAAATCAATATTTTCATGAAAATTCATAAACGGTGTAATTTAACCACACATTTGGAATTAAATTATTTCTATATAAAAAAACTAATACTTGGAGTAACTTCAAGTTGGTACCTTTATACTCGATGTAAATCCAAAATTTAAAGTTAAAATAAAGTCTGTACGTGCGAGATACGGGTATTATTGCAAGTAGATGAAATTATTATTTAGAGTATTGATTCTTGTAGTTTTATACGGTGCTTTTTATTGAGATGAAGCATTTTGTTGCTTGAATGTGAACAATTTCACCTGATTTACGGATACAATCATATTGTTTTATAGTTGAGTTTAGCAATTTTATAATATGGTTTTAAGTACTTTGCTTCATTAACTTAAGTTTAGAATTCCACAAAATGAAATTAATGAAAATGACTAGGGAAAAATGAATAATCTTCCATACTATATAGAAAACACTAGAATATTTATAGATTGCAAGTTGCACCTAACACTTTTAGCCTTTTAAATTGAGTCCCAACTGCTATTTGTGCCAACTTTGTTACTTTTTTGTTTGGCCTTTCTCTAAAAAATCTTTATTATAATATTTTGGGTGGCTCGAGAAGATGCCAAAATAATAATTATTTTGGTTTCTAATTGTTTTACTTATTTGTCTACCTATGAATTTAATTACTAATTTTTGTATACATTACAACGAATACAACAAAGGGAAATTTGATTGGGGGCTTCTTTTTAAATAAAACATTTATAAATATAGTTTTTCTTTTAAAAGAAGTAATTGTTAATGTAGATCGTCTAAATAATAATTATTACAAATATAATTTTCGTTCCTCAGCGTCCGAGTTAATTTAGATAACTGTCTAATCCTACAATA